CCGGCAACCTGTACTGATATAGATAATCACCATCCTTAGTGAACACCWGTATACGATGATTACYAWRGTCACATACAAAGATGTTAGARGCATCAYCAACACATACTCCAAAAGGACGACTGAACTGCCCATCCCCACTACCAYGACAACCAAACGTTTTAATCGTTTCCCCTTTAACTGTGTCCAGAATGCATATTCTKTKGTTTCCWWAATCASCTATKACTAMATCAGTTTCAYTAAGAAATGCTARACCMTGTGGAKAATTATATTGTTTCTGGCCGYTTCCTYKGCTACCAAATTTCAGCAGCAAATCTCCCTCCATGTTRAAGACTCTAAYGCAGTGTGAARASSRATCTGCTACAGCAATTCTATCATTTGTTGTATTTACTGCTATACCACCATASCWKTTTGAGCCTATATTCAAATCCTTTRCTAGCTTTATGTCTTTTATTGGTATGTTTTGTGGTTCAATGTTCATAACAAGTGGACTGTTAGATACAGGATTTCCACGTACTTCTACGTGTGCAGTAACTTGACCAGGAACACGAAAAGTTACGTCCAATGTTGCCTCACCGTCAACCTCSATCCGTTTCTCACCAATCTCTACATCATCTTCAGGGGTCACCTGTATGTTTACATTGTCYAGAGATTCGTTGRCCGCTTTTCCTTCTGAAGTTTTCATTACYACCGTCAGCTKTGTTGTTTTCATGGCCTCTACATTGGGTTCMACTTTCAATGWACATGACTTKGCATCTRCAGSCTTTTTGAATAACGTTACTTGTCCYAAACCAGTCTTCACTTGATTGTAAAGYTCTTCATTGGGTTTGAAATGAATCCCAMCCACGTCCTGCTGRAACGGTTCATAAGTGAACTTTTGAGAGCAATTTTTATTTCGATTTTCCATCATTTCACTTGCTGTTCCATTTCCAGCRAAGTATTGKACGTATTCTTGCGCTGCWGAGGTGTGATGTAATATTCGTAAGTTYCTTTCAGYTTTCGTTATGGATTGCTGGATCTCCGCTAAAAGTTGTTTTTCTTGKTCAAGCAGTGTTTTCAMCAAGTTCTTTGTTACTTTCTTGACATGTTCTTTAGCCTTTTGTCCATAATCTCGGATGTCAACGGCGATTTCKTCKTGCTGTTTTYTTTCTTCTTCGTTGGTAGTCACTCTCTCGATTTCTTCAAGGTTTTTTATCAGACCTTCTTTCTCAATGGTAACGAATTCCTGCAGTGATGATAAGTCATGTTTGTCGTGTGYTTGTTCTTTCAAGCAAAGCAAACAGATAAGTGCATCGCAGTCTCGACAATACWWCATAACATCTTGATTAGTGTGTGTTTTACATGACTCTTCTCTTTTCATCATTGTTTCAATGTCTTCCTTAGTCATGCTGGACAATGAAACAACTTTATGATTCTTGGCAAATTTAGCATGCAGACCAAGACACTCGTCACACAACGAGCAATCACAGTCTAGACATCGCCATAATGCTTCACARTGACTCGCYTCAAYCGAACAAACCTTCTGGTTCTCTACAAGCGACAAGACTTTCAGGATTCTTGAGTGTATCGGGCTGGTTTGCAAGTCTTCTACGTCTTCGAGTTGTTCAAGCACGGTTTGTGAGGTGCACTGGGGACACTTGAAGACGTTGACTTGTTCATCGAGTTGTGTATTTGACTTGATACAAGTCTTACAAAATGTATGGAAGCACTGTAACAACTTGGGTTCGTACATCGTCTCATTGCATAGCAAACACTGGACCTGGTTCTTAAGATCKTCCAAGAATGACTCCATTTKATGRCAGATAACTTTGCKAWGAAAAAGCTKAGYGAACTTAGTGTTTCTCGTMTTTCCGGGAAAAGCAAGTAATAACTGTGTGAATCGTTTCCGGGAACTGTCTATGAACTCTGGAATCATCGCGTGACTAATTCCTAGCTATCGTGACATATGAATATGTTCGTGACATGACAATTTCGAGTAAACTAAACTTTGTTATTTTGGACAATTTCCGAACTCTGATAACTCTGATACTCTTAACTCGAAAAGTTTAATATGGCTGATTGGTACTGGGATTTTTGCTGTTTAATATTGTTTTTGATCAGTGCATTATTACAGTGAGGTCAAAGCTATACGTCTGTGCATATTAATGATCAGAAAAATAATCACAAAACTTAAAGTCCACCTCACCCAATTTTTTTTATATTTGGAAAGAAAAGACTTTTGTCATAGTAACAACAATTTGTAAAAACAAATTTGATTTCGTTTTTTTAATTTTGGAATCTAATACTCTTAACTCGAGAAATTTAATATGGCTGATTGGTACTGGGGTTTTGCTGTTAAATATTGTTTATGATGAATGCATTATTATTGATCAGAAAAACAATCACAAAACCTCATAAACTATTTCAAATAGCTTAATTTTCGTTCTAAATCGCGAAATCGTTTTTTTTTTTTGTTTTGCGAAAGTAAATACTAAAGTAAAATATAGTTAAGACGAGCCACATGTGGAGTTTKAAGAATATTTCTTCAATTTTTCCAAAATTAATACATTATTTATTTTTGCAGTAAATGTAATCATTCCACGACTATAATCATTGATTCTTAATTCAGTTTAATTCAGGGTTATGATTTATTCCAAAAATATTATATTGATAACTATATTAATTAGACGCGCGCAACAAAACGCCATTGAAGATTCTTGATTCTGATTTAACAAATCCTTTATGGAACTAGTAAAATATATATGTTATTTACCGGATGGGAGGTCCGTATAGGAAAACGCTGCCCGAGGTCTTGACAGTTCTGATTATTTCTAAGAATTTCATATTGATGACGACATCAATTAGGCGCGCGCATAGAACGATGTGCAAGATGTTTTGTCTGATGTAGAAATCCTTTTTGGGACTAGTGAAGACGTACTTATAGATGATGGACGTACATGAACACACTAGATTACCTTGTGGTAAGTTCTGCATTCTTGCARTTCTTAGTTAAACGTTATTTTTCGTCTTCCCTTTAGCTTTTTTTTTAAGTTTTATCATTCCTTTGGTTACTAGATTTTTTAAAAACATTTTGATTTTAACTGCTTCGGTGTTTTTTCAGATTGCCTGAGTGATGAACAGTTTAATCGTCTCCTGAAAGARCCCATCTTTGTTGACTTTCTCAATACTTTCCTTTCGTTGCCGGTAAGTATTAGTTTTGGCCTTTGCAGGTGAACAGTTC